CCAAGGAAGGAACTTCCAGCTAATTAAATCTGTAATAACTCCCGAACTGTTGCACCCAACAAACTCTCAGCAGCCAAACTTCATCAGGATTCAACGTTTTGTAAACTTAAGTTGGAGAGAAAAGTACTACAGACTCCAGTGCGGACGGTTTTAAAAGGCTGGTCTGTTTTGGAAAATGTAGATGTGAATCCTGTACATCTTTAAGTTAAACGGAAAAGAAAGAAATGGAGCTCCTTCGCTGTTCTGCAGCAACTTGGTTGTTTGAATTTTTTTCCCCCCCACTGTATCATAGTTTAACACAAAACAGAAACAAAAAATGTTTATATCTCTGACAAAAAAAAAAAAATCTGTTTAAAGAAATAAACCTAAAGTGAATGTTGGAAATTAGTCTGTTGATGTTCTTAATAAAGTGACCTTGGAGTTTAACCTAGCGCCGGATGGATTTCTTTAGCTTAGCTCCGTTTCCAGGGAAATAAACTTTTAAACATCTCCTCTGCTTTATGTTTTACTTCTTTTGTGCTGTAAAATGGAGTTTCCTGGATCTAATTTATTGAGTTGAAGCAGAGCATGCAGTATCTGTTGCTGACATGGAAGGAAGTTTTTTTTTTTTTTTTTTGTAAATGTAGATTTTGATGTATTGGGTCAGAGTTTGGGTCTCTACACCCCACAGCGGGACGGGGGAACCCCAGCATGTGTGGAGGAGCAAATACTGCAATAAATTTTTTACTTCTCTTTGTTATTTGTCTTGTTTGCATTTGACTTTGATTTTTACATATTCGGAATTATTTTTAAAAGATATAAGGTAACCTTATAGTTTTTTTTTGAAATGATTAAAAGGTGCTGTTGGCTTGTCTGTGCATTTTATGACTTAATGTTAAGATTTATCTTAGATATCTGCATACGTATACACTACTTAGTGTTGGTACGGTTTTTTGTTTTGTTTTTGAAAGTCTCATGCTCACAAGGGCTGCATTTATTTGATCAAAAATACAGTAAAAACTAACAGTCACTGTTTAAAATAACTCTTTTCTATTTTAATATATTTTAAAATGTCATTTATTCCTGTGAGTCCTCCTCAGCATCATTACTCCAGTCTTCAGTGTCACATGATCCTTCAGAAATCATTCTAATATGCTGCTTTCATGCTCAAGAAACATTATCAGTTGTGGGTTTTATAACATTATAAATGTCTTTACTGTCACGTTTGATCAATTCAATGAATATTTGTTGAATAAAAGTATTAGTTTCTTATTTTTAAGTGTCCTGAGCCCAAACTTTGAATGGTGTTGTACATAGTTATTGATAATTTTATCAGAAATTGAGTTTACCCAAAGGTAATATTTTCGAACATTCTAAAATTTGGTCAATATGTTGAAGCTGTGCTGTGGTTGACCAGATCACACAGCCTACTAGCTCCTCTGTCTTGTAGTTTGTTCAACCATAAACCAGCTGAACAGCTTGAAATTGTGGAAAACCTGCACCATCATTGCCTGCCTTGAGTAACTTGGGAAATGACCATTAAATAGGGTGGTTATTTTGTATGGCTAATGAAAAACGGACACTGCAACCAAGTTAAAACTACCAGAGTTGTTCACGTACAAAAAACCAAAAACGTTTGCTGATAATTCCCATATTATCCAAGATGTTGATGTCTTTCTTTCTTCAGTCGAAAAGAAATTAAGGTTTTTGATGAACACATTCCAGCATTTTTCTCCATATAATGGACTTCATTGGGCACCAAACGGTTCAAGGTCCAAATGACCGTTTCAGTGCAGCTTCAAAGGGCTTTAAACGACACCAGACGATGAATAAGGGTCTTATCTAGCGAAACGAGCAGCCATTTTAAAAATAAATAAAAAAGTTTTATAAGCTCAAATGCTCACCTTGCTCAGTTCTGTGACGCGCGTTGATGACTCTCTGTTCATCCAAATGAACAAATCTTTTTTTCGAGTCATTTGGTTCATTCAACGAACGAAATGACTCGAAAACGATTCGTTTATTTTGATGAACGAGTTCGAACACCAACGCGCATCACAGAACAGAGCGAGCATTTGTACTTTATAAACGTAATGTTTTTTTATTTATTTTTTAAATGAGCCATCGTTTCGCTTGATAAGACGCGTATTCATCGTCTGGTGTCGTTTAAAGCCCTTTGAAGCTGGACCTTTGGTCCTTGAACCGTCTGGCACCCAATTAACGTTAACTCCATTATATAGAGCAAAATCCTGGAATGTTTTCATCAAAAACCTTAATTTATTTTCGACTGAAGGAAGAAATACATGGACATCTTGATGACATGGTGGGGGTGAGTAAATTAGCACAAGTTTTGTTTTTTTTACACATCAGCTCGTAGTCTGCCAAACATCTGAGACTGATTTAAAATGGGGTTATTTCCTGCATGGAGAATGACATATTTTCCGAAGGTAACGCGCTTTTTTTACCTCAGGGAAACGCTGTTGCAACAGGGGTAAACTGACGTGACTAATGGAAATGTAGTAAATCACTGATTTATTTGTTTGCTGTTTAAAATGAAAACTGGGTTAATTAACCCATCTATTTATTAGTACTGACAACAAGTGATAAAACTCGGACTTCCCGTCACAATGTTGTTAAACTTCTACTCGAGCTATGATGACTCAAGCTCTTTTGATGCCCGCAGATTCATAAACCGGCTCCACGCCCACCAAACAAACCAAAGCAAACGGCGACTCATGAGCTGGACGATCACTCGTTCTGTCCTCAAGAAGTTAAAAAAAGAAACACCATTTCGCGATTTGTTATGGACGTTATCGAGCTCGAGTCGTTTTTGAACAGCCCTCCACGAGGATTCAGTGCCGAGCGTCGCGAGGGCTCCACGGTCGTGAAGTGGGATCGGGAGACCAGCTGCGTGTTCATCGATGAAATCCGGTCTAGCAAAGGAAACGCGATTTTCTGTAATTCTCCAGGAAGGTAAATGAATTCAAATAACGTCATTTGGCAATATACATGTTTAGATATAGCTTGCTTTTAGTAACTCTTTATGGCAATTTTAGGAAAATCACGGTACGAACTTTGGGAGAGTACACAGATTTGAGACGACAACTTACCTCAATGACAATATACATACTGGTGTCTGCATGCGCCAACACGACGGTCGAAGAAAGGAGAAACAGAGATGTTCCAGGTATGATTTATTATTGTTATTATTTCACACAGTGACCGTGACCTGTTTCTGTAAATTAAAGGTAACGTTATCCTTAGGCAATTTCTTTTCGGCTCATTTTTAAGAGATTCCATTCGAGCGTCTCTTTAAATGACGTTAGATTTCCTTTTCCCAAAAAGCACTTTACAATAATAATGAACCTATATCGAGTTTATACGATATGTCGATATATATTTTTTGAACCGACATTGAATGAGGCAATCGTAGGCAATTCCGTTTCTTGACACGAGCACATCTGAAAAATAGCTGAGTCTGCTGCAGTACAATGCAAATGACACAAGGTTATATTAAGGGATTCAAAATAACTAGTAAGATATAGTTAATAAGTTTTAAGCTGCTTGCCCTGTCAGATGATCAGACAGATAACGTTACTGTTGCTGAGTGACATATAAATAAATAACTTAAAAATGTGTTTGAGATGTGCTGCTTTCCTCAGTGCTTAACTTACAGGTATATTCTCCATCTGTAAATGTTTGAAAGTCAAACAAATATGTCAATTTCAGATTTTAAGCGCCCACAAACGGAGCACAATAGAATAGACTATATTGCTAAAATATTTGTTGTTGGAGACAATGAATGTGCCATATGTGGAATTTTTATTACAAGTATTTTTTTATGAAAGTGACCAATATAATGGGGTAATATAATTAGTTTGTGTGCTTTTGTTTTTATTTTCATTTTTAGCCTTTAGTCAAATTCAAAACAAAAGCATTATTTTTGTTTTTAGAATGTAATGTTACAATGTAAGGTGATTTTAACCACCTTTTTGCACACAATAATATGCATAGCCTACATTATTAAATCCACTATATGATATCATTGGGCAGGATGTGAAATATTATTTTTTTTTAAATAAAAATAGATTATCTTTACACAACTAGAAAAATGTAGAAAGTACCGAGATATATATCGTAAATCGCCATTTAATCAAAAAATACAGAGATATGATTTTTTTTTTGGGGCATATCGCCCAGCCCTAGCTAAATATGTTCGTGAAACAGTGATATTTATGGTCTCATTGATATTAACATCACTAAAGTGGTACAAATTTGTCAATAGGAAATGCAATGTAGCTATATGTCACAATTTTAACAGAAAAAGGATTATTAAACTTTGACACACAGTTGCATACTGTATTTTGTAAAGTCAAATGCCTCACCCTTCTTATTATTGTTTATAGCTCTCGGATATTACGTGGTGGCGATCAATGGCAGTCATCCAATGATCAGATGGGAGATGGAGAGAGGTTTAGACCGGACTATTTCATCTGTTGCTGGAGAGAGCTATGCAGTTGATGTGAGTTCCTCTGTGCTGCAGATTTGTTTTCAATGATTTATGATGTCCTGGCAAGGTAAAAAAATAGTACTGAAAAGTAAATGCTTTTTTTTTTGTAAAGGTTGATGTTAGTGCTGCACTACAGGGATGGGTCGGTGAGAACTTTCAATTCCTCGTTGATGCAGAAAAGGTGAAACCCACCTGGAAAGACACGCATTTCACCATCAAGTACCGTTCAGATGCCCTGTTTGACATTTCCTACTGGTTTGGCTTCAGCAAACGACAGTTTAAGGTTTGTGTTAATAATTCAGCAGGCCTCTCTGATGGGTGTACAGTATTGAGAATGTGGCTGTGAATCTAATTTTGCAGATCTCTTATCATGGGAGATGAAGTCAACGCCCAAAATGTTTTGCAAGACTGCAAACATCTACTGAAAACTTCAGTCTGTGGAATTAAAATCCAAAGATGAGGAGACCATGAGAGCAATGAAACTGTGGAAAAGACTGTTTTATTGTAAATAACATTTTATTTTGCTCATGTTAGTAATAGTACATACGATCATAAAGAAATGGATTATTTCTATAATTATAATTCTGTTGAGGTCAATTTCATAAATACTCACAAACTCAAGGTAGTTACAGCACTTTTTGAAATAGGTTATATTTGTTACTTCACAGTAACTACATTCATTGCTTTAAATGACAAGTGGAGCTGGTGTGAGTAAGTGGGGGCGGGGCTAATTTGCATATTCAAAGAACCGTGTTAAATAAATGAGGCAAGGGTTTAGCGTTCCGTTTAAGCTATTTTAAGGTATGAAGAAAGGACAAAACATTAAAATATGTCATTTTGGTGATTAAAGATGAGTTTTAAGGGATAAAATGATCAACTAGATAATTCTGCATATTTCTGATGACACAGAGCAAAACATCACATTACCCTCTGAGTTTACACATTTCATGTGCCGTTTCTGGCTGTGTGTAGCAAATACTGCTTTGCATGTACTTCCAGAGAATCGTTAGAAACTTGCAAAGTTTATTTTGAACAAGGACCCTCACCATGATAGTCTGATCATTTGAATGCTGACTTTGCAAAGACGCTGTTGATTTATATTATATAACTATATTTCACCTCACAGGAAACCTGCAATCCAGTGCATGAGCAAAACTTGGTACGTTTAAAGGCACAGTAGCAAAAAACTGACCAATTTAAATCTAAAGTTCAGAGAAAAGTGTGAAATTAAACTAGCATTATATGAGGCCTTTAAAACATTTCTTCAAAAACATTTTACTAGAATGGTACTAATTAGATCAGCCCTATTTTATTTTTGTATCCTCTTGTGTTGATTTTTAAGTGTTTATAATATGTATATAACATTTTGCAATTAAATGCTTTGTGATCAATGCTTTACTCTTTTCTCGTCACATCCTCTGACTAACTGACAAACCCTTAACTGAAATAGTTTATCTACACCGATCGATCGATATGCGGTAGTCAATATTTGAAGTGGACCAAAACCTTTCATCAAAGTTATTCATGAATTTTGAACAATACTTTTTTGATGCTTTGAATGTTGACTACTGTATTTTCAGTTTCAGCTCAGGGGAAGTTAAATCTGTCTGGCACAGTTCATGGCAAGAGCAGAAGGGTTGACGCTGCTTTGGTGATGGTCTGAATGTATTCTTTGTAGTCACTGCTGCCATAGGTGAGCATCAGGTGATTTATGATTCCCACAATGCACATGAGTGACAGGAAAAAGAGAATTCGTTTCCCGAACAGGAAGCCAGGAGTGCTGTCAAGCATACAAGGAGAATATAAGTCAACAAATCTGGTGTGTAAAAATACGGTTGGGTTATTCAATTTGGTGAATGAATATGTTTGTATAAAGAAATATCCTGGGTTGAAACGGTTTAGACACATTGATCTTATCGAAGTTCGGCCCTTTTGCATTGGTTCAGTAATATTTATATTTAGATTAGCTAATGATGAACATCTAATAATGTTGGAATGCAGAACATTTGTCTTAAGGTTACTTTTCATAAGAAATGTTTACTGTACAGTTGTATTCCAAATCAGGTTTATTGGCAAAATTGACAGACGTTCAGCTGCTTGCAAAGAACAATACAAGCAGAAGTAATTGAAATAGCTCAACACAACAAATGCTTCAAGTGGTTTACGCAAATTCAACTGAAAATGCAACTTTTAATGACTTCTGCAGTCTCAAAACTATTCAACCCCTTCATGGCGAGCATCTGCAAATTAGATGTATAACCTGAGGAACCTTAGCCCATTCTTCATGAGCAATGGCCTCCAGTTCAGTCTGAGTATGATGACGTCAAGCTTATGAATTTGGGGAAACCACTTTCGAAACGTGTTGTGTTAAGCTATTTCAACTACTTTTTTGTGTTTTGTTCATTACAAACAGCTGAAACCCAGCAAACACAGAATGTTCCCCTAACGTTCCTTTATGGTTCCTATTTGATTATTTTTTTGGGAACCAAATTAGAACGTTCCCTGTAGATTAGTTATAGGTTCTCCTAAACGGAACATTCCCAGAACATTCTCCCTAACCTTAAGGGAACGTTCTATTTACGTTAAGAAAACTTTCCTGGGGAACCAAAAACTAACGTTCCCAGAACCTAAAATTGTTGGCTGGGAAGCTGTACATTTGGCCAATAAACCTGATTTGCAGTGGGGGTTGAATCATTTATTTTACAACTGTAAAAGTTTGCAATGGTTCAGTTGCACAAGGGGAAACAACATTTTGATGTCCAAAAGGGCTCAGTTATGGATTTTTACTTTTAAAAATTGTACCTCTGACAAGTCTGCCCCAGGTAGCCAACAAAATACTTCTGCCGGACCACAAGGTAGAGAATGCCAGCAAAGGCAGCTGGAGCTGTAACAAAAATAGTTAATTGTTATAAAATGACTTCAAAATGTTCTCATTAAATGGACAGGGAACGTTTACAGAACTATGAATAATGTTCTGGAAAAATAAACAAACATTCTTTCCGTAGCTTTAACTGAACTTTTTTTTTCAAAGGTATCTGGTATAATGTTCTCAAAATATTAGCACAAAAAGATCATTTATACATTATTCATGAAATGTTTTTTTTTTCTTCCCTGAAACATTTTCTAATGTTTTCTTGTTACTTTTAAATTTGAGCAAAATGATACATTGGCATAATTAAGAACAACAACATTCTAAAACCTGAAATGTTCATAGAACTTTCCAAAGTAACGTTTTTAGAACGTTAGTAAAACATTCTTAGAACATGTCTGTTAGCTGGCTAATTCCCAAGAAATGAATGTAGTTACTGTACAGGTCATTTCTTTGACTCATATCATTTTTATTGGGGCTGACTCGCCTTGTGTGTGCGTCAGTTGGTTAGCAACATGCTTACTAGTATTTCTTTTTTATTATGATGTTGACAACATATTTGCATATGGGTCATATCATGAATTATGAGCAGAGAAATGCAAACCATTTCTACCACATTACAAAAAGGGGTAGTTTCTGGTATCCTTCCACCATATACTGAACATAGATGATAAAATAACAAAGGCACTTTTAATTCTATAATTAAGTGTTCATTTAGTCAGAATGTGATGAAACATTCCTTTTATCGATGAAAGTGCTGGTATGAATTAAATCATGTACCTTGGCTGAGGCAGAAACCAGCGCACCACAGAACTGCCAGAAATGTGGGGTATGTATCCATGCAGTTTCGACTTAAATTGTGGAGAAAAAAACAAGCATTATGAAGCAGTTCGTTAAATGATCGTCTCAGTGAACTCAGTCTCGCAGCTGGTATTTCATTTGACCAAACACTGATGTACAAATGTGCTGCCAGTTCTTACATCAATGTAGCTATGAGAAATATTGTGAAATAGTTGTTACTTCCTCTCTGGTGGTGGTTAATGACACTTTTTTATGATTGCATCTAAATTGAGACAAACCAGAACCCAACAGTCTAGATATGCAACTGATAATATGTGTTTTCAGTTTGGTTTATTCTGCATATGTGAAATGTGCAGAAATTAAAAATATGTTGGAATAGCATACCAGGTAATACATAATAGGGCCAGGTCACTCTGAAAAATGTTGGGTTGTTGGGTCAAATATGGACAAACCCAAATGTTGGGTTAAAAATGCAAAAGTTGAAAGTAGAAGTTGGGTTAAAATTTGAAATTACTTTTTTAACCCAAAATTTGGGTTTGTCCATATTTTACCCAAATTTGGGTTAAAACAACCCAGCATTATTTGGAGTGTACTGTATGTCCACATTATCCCAATTTACTTTAATGTAAGAAATGTTTTGAGAAATGTTTAAATAATTGCAAAAAATAAATGTACATTTGAAGAGTTCAGATGCAAAAGCCTCTAAATGCCATTTGAAATTTTCTTCTTTAATGATGATTTTTATCAAACTTGTATATTTAAGTTCAGTAATTTCACTTAAATAACAATATTTAAGTGAAATTACTGAACTTAAATATACACGTTTGATAAAAATCATCATTAAAGAAGAAAATTTCAAATGGCATTTAGAGGCTTTTGCATCTGAACTCTTCATTTATAGGGTTTCAATAACAGACAGAACAGTGCAAACCTCTTGCAACATTAAGATTATGTAAATAAAGCAGGAAGTTAGTTTCATCAACAGGAAAATGTGGAGCGGTTATGCAAAAGAAGTCACACCATCACTATATATATATAATCACTCTTTTTTGGTGTGCTTATAGTCATTGAACATCTTAAATGATTTCAAATTCCATAGTGGATGAACAGAGAAACTTAAAAACTTAAATCAATACTCACTTTGCACAGGACAAACGCTCAAAAGCTGTCGAATGTTGTTTAGAATGAATCCCTGTGCACTCTTTCTCAACCTTTAGGGCGAAGAACACTACAGGAGAAGTCAATATATTAGACATTAGGTATTTTAATGAAATTGCATGTTTATTTATAGGCTACATTGCGGACTAATTCCTTCTAGATGTATAAACAGCACACTGTTTTCAAAGATGATTTGCATACACATTCTGCATAAACCTCATTCAACTAGACAACTAAAAAGAGTCCAATCTAAATGTCTTACCATTCTGAACAACGCTGAGAAGAGTGACCAGCACTAGCAAGATAATGTCTTCCATCACTTCAGCGTCCATGTTCCCCGTGTATAAACTGCAAAGGTCTTTTTCAGCACTGCACGTCTGACTTTAGTATCACAGATAACATCAGCACTGAACTGATGCGTTTCCTGGTGGGAGGGCCGCTAGAACTTCTAGAACTCACTTCTGCTTCATGAATGGTGCATTCAGTCACTTAGTGTGGGAATATCTCAATATCTCATGGTTTCACAGCTCATCTTATCAGCTATTTCAGGACAAAATGCTGTTTAACAAACACACACTGAATCTAAAGTGGAAACTGACAGTTTGTTGATCTTGGTTACAGACTGCATTGGTCTAAACTGGTTTGGTCTTGGCTTGTCTGAGGGAAGCAACCAAAATGTGCATTTTCAGAGGACCTTCTTGACTGGAATCCATGACTGATGACATCAGCTCCAAACAGACCAACTGGTATTTTCACTTTTATATTTAAACACTAAATATAAGTAGTCGACTTCATGCAGTTCACCAACATTAACTTTCATCAAGAGGTGCATACATTTTTGCTTTCGTCTGTTTACTTTCCAATGTTTTTTTTTTGTGAAACCAAGACTACTCCAATATTGCATTATCAATCATAATGATTATTTTAATATTGATTTTTAATATTGTTAAAGGGCAGTTAATGAAGATCTTATCGGTGCATGATTTATATTTATATTATACAAAACAGACTCTAGCACCGGAAAAGGCGGATTTCAGTGAAAAAACAAAACAAAACATTTCTTATTTTTAGAATTGCCGCATTCCTGTTTTTATTGGTAAATGAGAATGTTTAATATTAGAATTGCTGTAGTATTTTCTTATATATTTGTTGTGGCAGTAAAATTCAAATGTCCCGGACACATAAAATCTTGTATTAACACATGATCAAATTAAAACCAATTCTAGGATTTCAATATTAGAATCATTGTGAGGCGCTTTTAACTCAAAAGCTGAATTAAATGTCATTAAGCACACTGTATTCCATTTTTTGAGAACATTTAATGAGAACTGCCTAAAACTGTCACTTGCCTTGCCTGTATACGGGCAACCTAAATTTACTTCACTATATTACTATTAAATCCTAATCTAGTCATGACAAACTATATATCGTTGGAAAGGTCTAAGACTCCTAAATAGATATTTTAGCACTGTTTTTTTCTTACAAATTATGAATGACCAGTAATATATGAATTTATGACAAGAGTGCGCCTAAAAAAAAAATCAACGTCATTACAGGAGTTTCTGACCTTTGTCACAAAAAGTTCATAATAAAACATAAGTAGTATTTGTCATTAAAAAAAGATAAAATTATATTTTAAAAAGTAATGTAAGAAGTCCTCTAAAAAGTATAATATATATATATATATATATATACAGTATATATATATACAAAAAATTTTTATTATTATATCACATATTTTAGTAGTTATCATAAATTAGGTATCATTTAAAAGCTTACGAACTCAGAATTCATCCTGTGAAAACCGTTTTGAAATTGGACGTTGCGTTACCATAGAAACGGTATTTTTTTATTAGGCCCCTCCCCTTATGGGCATCATCTTTCATAATTTATCATCAAAACCTTTTCTAATCTTGACAAAACACATATCAGAAAGGTCTGAGTCTTAAGGTTCCATATTTAGTGACAGAAGTGATATTTGGATAGAAATGTATTAATCTGTTATGGCAGAATGCATACAATTAAATTCAATGGAATTCAACGGCACCCGGTGGTTGTTTTTGGTATAACGCCTAAACAAAATCTCATGGGATCTTAATTTTTTTTATATCAACTTTAAATTTGGAACACAACTTGGTTAGATATATAGCTTTCATTTTATAGTAATTTTAGAGTAAAACATTAAATAAAATATATTTGATTTACTGTAAATTATAACTTCCATAACTTTTTCATACTTCAATTTTTTGAAGTGCTTTCACTTCAGTAATATTATGCGGATTGATTTCTTTAAAACAAGACCAAACTTAGGTCTATATTCCAAAGCAGTCTTTATTCTTCAACATTTATAAACAGACATCTGTACAAACCTTTACAATTACCTGGTTCATAAATTGATCTTCAAACATTGTGCCATTTAAATATTCTTCAGTCTCCAAGTAGATCAGGCAAAATATGAACCGAACTAGAAAAACACAGCATTTCTTTCCAAATAGAAAATTACAAAGAACAGTTTTTGAAACAACTTAAAGTCTAAAAGTATTTTCTTAAATCAGAAGAATATATCCAAGCCATTAAAATCAGTGCTCTCAATTGCAGTCTGGCCCATCCCTGCTTGCATATATTCATCAAATATGGAGTCATTAGTAGAAGAATAGTTTAAAGTTGCTTCTGGAACCACAGTTGCTACTGAAGAATTTTGCTGTGCGCTGCCATTTGTCGACTCGCCATTCTGGCCATTGTTCAACATCTCCAGGAGACCCGTGCTGTCGGGTGAGAGGTTACTGGCGGGCGTCACAGGTGACAAAAGCTCAGCGAAGAACTGGTCGTATGCCGGGCTGTCGTAAGCCGAAGTGCTAGAGGTGACGGAGTAGGGCGACGAGAGGGCCGTGCTGTCCGGTCTCGGTGCCGCTTCTCCACTGCTTCCCAGAATCTGGTTCAGCTTGGCCAGTTTCTTTTTCTTGGCCTTGAGCTTTTTCAGTAACTTTAGCCTGAGGGCTTCTGTAGTGTTCATGGGCTGCTGGTCTGCGGTTTTCTTCACAGATGGATGCATACCAACTGGTTTGTGTTGAGGCGGTACAGCAGGAGTCGCACAAACTGAATTTGCCAATTTCTTGGTTACGAAGCCACCAAACATTTCGGCCGGCTTGGCCGGTTGAGCTTCATTGTCACATTTCAGACTGAGCTTTGGTTTTGGAGCAGGAGGAGGAAGTCTCACTGGTGTTGAATGGAGGGATGGATGGCGTTGAAGTAATGTGGATACAAGTGGTGAAGGCGCATGTACTTTAGAAGCCTCTGATGATTTCACCACAGCTGGATCGGCCACCGAAGGTTTTGAAGGTTGACAACTGGACAGACTAGATGCTACTGGAAGACTAGGGAGAGTGACGGCTGGGCTCTGGGGGATCTGATGATCCTCAGTGGCTCCGTTCACGTCAACAAGAGTGAGGGTCACAATGTCTGTGTGCGACAGACCCTCAAATGTGTCCAGTAATGTGGTGCTGCCGATGGATGCATCCAGAGTGCTGACAGCAGAGGAGTCTCCCACAGTGAGCGCGCTGATGACACACGTGTCATTGGCCACAGAGTCTGACAGCTTGTCCGAGAGTTTGTCATCGACATCTGTGGCCGCCGAGGGAGCCGTCGGTGAGCAAATCACTGAAGGTTCATCATTAGTGGAGTCTGCCTCCCAGAAAACAACGTGAATTTCATTGGCTGGAAATGGCAACCTCTTGTGGATGTCGGAGTGAGGGTATTTCAAATCATCGAGTTCCGTCCACAAGCCTTTAAGACACAACACAGACATGTAAATTAACTAGGATTACAACCTGTCAATCAAAAGCAGGTGGAAAAATGCGTCAGACTGCAACTCATAGTGTGTGTGAAGACGATCTCTCTTTTATTGAATTTAGGGCAAGTTAACGTACGTGGTAACGCATCAACAGTTAAAATTCGAGAACTCTTCATAAATCATAATAGTCAACAATTTTATTGATCTGACTGTACTGACGCTGTTGAATGAGAACTGAACTCATTTTATGAAGAACTGCTTTTTAGATGAAATGAACTTTTTTAAAGGAGAATTGACTTTCCTGGTCGAACTCGTTCATCAAAATGAACCAATCTTTTTCAGAGTCAATTCGTTCGTTGAATGAACCAAATGACTCAAAAAGATTCATTCATTTTGATGAACGAGTTCGAACAGGAGAGTCATAATGAAGAACTGCTTTTTAGATTAAATGAACTTATTTAAAGGAGTTGTGACTCTCCTGGTCGAACTCGTTCATCAAAATGAAAATATCTTTTTCCGAGTCAATTCGTTCGTTGAATGAACCAAATGACTCGAAAAAAAGATTCGTTCGTTTTGATGAACGAGTTCGAACAGGAGAGTCATAATGAAGAACTGCTTTTTAGATGAAATGAACTTATTTAAAGGAGTAGTGACTCTCCTGTTTGAACTCGTTCATCAAAATGAACGAATCTTTTTCCGAGTCAATTCGTTCGTTGAATGAACCAAATGACAAATCATTTCGATGAACGAGTTCGAACAGGAGAGTCACGAACGTGCATCACAGAACAGAGCAAGGCGAGCATTTGTGCTTATAAAACGCAAACATTTTTATTTATTTTTTAATGAGCGATCGTTTCGCTTGATAAGACCCTTATTCATCGTCTGGTGTCGTTTAAAGCCCTTTGAAGCTGCACTGAAACTCTCATTTGGACCTTGAACCGTTTGGTGCCCAATGAAGTCCATTATATGGAGAAAATGCTGGAATGTTTTCACTGTGATATTTAATTGCATTTAAGCATTTAATTGAAATATGTATATTTTTTAACAACTTTGGCTGTAAACTTTTGAATGGTAGTGCAAGTAGATCAGCTAATGGAGACTCACCATTGGTCTGAAGGATCCAAGTGACGAAGTGCTGAAGATGTTTTTTGTACTGGATAATAGTGCTGACACTGTAGTGCACGTCCTGGAACTCGAACGAGAATTTAGAGAGGTCTTTCCTGGGAAAGCCCTCCACAAAGTGCAGTGCAAACACAGAGGACAACCTGCGAAAAATGAACAGTTTCAAATATTCAGTTGTGTTCAAGCAAGGTGATAAGGAAAGAAAGAAATAAGGACATTTATAGTTATTCCAACTCTTACCGTTCAAGCACCATTCTCCTCCTCTGGTTTTTACGGTTGCAGCTGCTGCACTGAGCGCGGTGCACGGCTTTCAGTGGGTGCCAATTACTCAGAATCTGAGTTAACGATGTAAGAGTCTTCTCAACACTGCAAGACAAAAGGAGGGTTGTGTTACGTATGTGTGTACTAGTGACGTTTGTCTCGAGACCACTTTTACGTCTCAGTCTTGTCATGGCCTTGACGGTCTTGTCATAATTTCGTTTTTTAAAAGTATAATTACGTATTTAAAAGTTGCAGAATGGATTCACTTTGAGACTTTGAAATGGGCAGGCAATGCAAAACAAAATCTTACACAAGTTATTGCTTAGCTTCAACAACAAGTCTAGTGTGTACTGAGACCAAAACAATTATCTATAAACATAATATAATTATCAAAAAAAACCAAAAACATTTAATCACCAAATACAAATTATTTTGAATTAAAAGGGTAAATCCTTACCTGTTGTTTACAGTATAACCACAGGGGCACTTAAATTCCCATCGGACAGTGTGCTGGAAAAGATCCTGAGCCCACTTGTCTGACCGTAGAAGGAGAGGGAGCGCAAACACGGGCGTTTCCTGCTGACCTGCATGACAGACAGAAACATTATCACTCGATACAAATGCCAAGCAACACGATGAAATAAAATGATTTTATGAGCAGATGTTTGTACCCATTTCACACTTCAGTGTCGGCTGGAGGAGTTTGAAGAGTGACAGACGGTACGCAGACATCTGCCGCTCTGCCTCAGCCAGGACATCAGCAGGGACTCGAGTCACCTTATCTGCCAACAGAAGCACAGGTAAGCTCATCAAAATATTCAAATTCACTAATAAAAAACCTTTTTATTTCATTAAAAATTATAGTTTATTTATGTATGGGAACGTAAATCATTTTAATATGTAAACAACTTTTAAATGTCATTTTATATCAATATAAATGGATTAATTATGCCCAATTATGCTTTTTCTAATATTACACTGTGTAATTTAGCTGTTTGTAAATGTAAAAGTTTTTAAAGATCATCCAACGTCATCCAAGATGTCCATGTCTTTCTTTCTTCAGTCGAAAACAAATGAAGGTTTTTGATGAAAACATTCCAGGATTTTTCTCCATATAATGGACTTCAATGGGGTCCAAACGGTACAAGGTCCAAATGAGAGTTTCAGTGCAGCTTCAAAGGGCTTTAAACGACACCAGACGATGAATAAGGATCTTATCAAGCGAAACGATCGCTCATTTCAAAAATAAATAAAAAAGTTTACGTTTTATAAGCTCAAATGCTCGCCTTGATCTGTTCTGTGATGCGCGTTCTTGACTCTCCTGTTCAAACTCGTTCATCAAAATGAACAAATCTTTTTTCGAGTCATTTTTGAAATGACAGATCTTTTCGCTAGATAAGACCCTTATTCCCTTTGAAGCTGCACTGAAACTCTCATTTGGACCTTGAACCGTTTGGACCCCATTGAAATCCATTATATGGAGAAAAATTCTGGAATGTTTTCATCAAAAACCTTCATTTCTTTTTTATTGAAGAAAGAAAGACACTATCAGCAAAAGTTTTTTTAAAAGTGAACTACTCCATTAGTGAATGTAAACAGTGAGAAAGAAAATGCTATTAATGTGATCATTACATATACAATTACTTTTGTAACTTTAATATATATTAAAGCTTTGCCAGCGCTTTGATCAACTCATGGTTGTTGTAAAGCGCTATATAAATAAAAAATGTATTGATTGATATATATATATATACATGCGTGTATAAATATGTATAACATATATTTAATTTACACAGTGAATATTATGTAGCGTTCTTGTACATTTGATTAGCAGTACATATGTAGTAGCTATTTCTTTTTTCTAATGCTCTAAGATTTTAAGGTAGGGTTTTAATTTTATTTTTTTTGTACTCATTCTATTGTAATTATCAGTTTCATGTTCTTATATTATCAGGCTAGTATTAGTTTGAGATATTGAAATTGGGTGACGGCAATAATACAATTTCGATAGTAAATTTTTTTTATTTTAATATCATAAACGAAATTAACTATATCATGATTTATATAGTTATAGCAAAATAAAATCTCGTGATATACGATTTTGGTCATTTTTGGTCAATATCTATTTATAACAAAAATCGTGTGTCGATAGTTATGAATACATATAAATAATTTACATTTCTAATACAAGTATACATTTTAAACTCGCATAACATTATACAAATACAGTAGCACACAAAGTTAATTTTCTCTTCCTTTCACCTTCACACTGTTGCTCCTTGGCTTTTAGATATGCACATGTCTTATCATATGTAGCGCAAAGGTTCCAGACGGCAGAGTTGCTGCAAATCTCTGATGTCAACTTGTCTATGAGCTTCACGTTCTGACACGGAGTCTCTCTGATGGTCTTGCAATTCACGAGCATCACCAACAACGAATCCAACCAACACAGGTTGTCCTCATTTTTCCAGAAGAGATGAGGTTGCACAGGAACCAGCTCTGACAACTCCGTATCTACATCCATTATGAAGACCTCCTCGACTTCATCTTGAGTACTAGACACGCAAACATCCTTCTTGTCACACAGATCTAAATCCTCTTGGGTAGCAGCAGGAAGCTCTTTGGGATGTTGTTCCTCAGTGCCCTTAATAGAGAGAGTCTTTGCAAGTGTTGACTGTTCACCAGCATCCTTTGGAAGGGCGTCGTCAATGACATCAGCACCACATGGCTCAGACTCAGCAGACAAAACGTCCAGTTTCTCCTCTCTCGGTCGCTTCGAATGGGAAGATGCATCATCGACATCGGACAGGTTCCTCTTGCATCCATTTTTAGACAAACTAGCACGCACATCTTCCGGAGATCTACTAACCAATGGGTAAAGGCACTGAAAAGCGACAGAAAAACAAAGCACAGATGTAAATGACCATTTTACAGATGTGACGTAATGACTCAATATCCGAGACTCTTCTTTACATGTACAGATGTGTGTGTACAGATGTGACGAAAAGACATGCTCGAATCTCCCACGGAAATCCACACCAGTACCACTGGAATTAAAAACATTATTACAAGCTTACCGTTTTGAATCGGCAAGCAGAGTTTTGAACACTGGCTGGTTATGCATTTTCTCAAATATGTCGTTTGGATCATTTTTAAGCCAACAAAAAAAAAGCTACGGACTGCAGCTTTAAAATGTCAGTTCCTGATAAGCAACAGGGGGGAAACTCAAGTGTTAAAGGGATAGTTCACTTTGAAATTAAAAACGATATAAATACTGTTCGTTGTCTCACAAAAACCGCTCGTTTCGTGTCTTAGGCCATCAATGTGTACTTAAATTTACGAGTCATTAAATCATGTTTAATTTGGACTTCTCTGTGCATGCTCTTTGGTGGACCCCCTTAGCCTCCAGTGTCTGACTGACAGACAACAACGGTTTGACTGAAAAATGTCAAAATTGAAAATACTGTGGAAACAAAGACACCTACATCTTGGATGCCCTTGAGGTAAGATAAAACATATCAAAAATTAATTTCAAAGTGAACTATCCCTTTAATGGATGACTGGCCTCACCATTGGATTTGTACAGAGCAGAACAGTCTCCTCCCAGTTGAGGGCAAAAAAGCGGACAGCATGTGTCTGACCTTTTCTCAAACACCAAGGACAGTTCCCAGGTGAGGTATTTCTGTCTTCAAACTGTAAAAACCAAAAACAACAGATGAGAAATCATAGAGAGCTTTAAAACAATCAACATAGAAAATAGAATACAAAGACATTTGTGTACTGCATAACTAAGCCTATATGACTATTCTTTCGCCTTTTACGTCACAGATTTCTGTGTTGTTTCTCGTTTGTGGGGGGCATCAAATCAATAGAATTGTCCATACAATATAGAAGTAATTTTGAATGTGACAGGGGAGCTTTGCACGAGTGACAGAGGAAGAGAACTGAGCATAACTGACTTTTCCCAAATACCCCAACACTGCTGGGAACGGAGCCCCTGTACCAGTGCCTTTGCTGTTCATTTTCACTCCACTGAAGTTTCCATTCTTTGACGAGTCCTGCTGCCATAAACTTGACATAACCTCGTCACTTGGCTCACCGCCTGAACACACTGCAGTGAGAAAGAATATTTCATTTCTGAGACATCAACTGACCTATTCCAGGCTGATACACAAAGCAAACATTACAAACTGCATCCGCATTTACTGAAGGAAATACAAGTGCAGTCAGTAAGAGAACAGCAAGATGCATATCACAATATGGAAGAAAAGTCCAAGCAAGCAACTAATAACTTTTCTTCCATATTATGATACCTGTATATCTGATTGGCTTCTCAAGCAAGAGCATTTTATTAGGGCAGGACTTGACTTTGTTCATTGGATCATTGTGGTTTGCTTCTGCTTCAATCTCATGTGAGTGACAGATTGCCACGCCCTCCGTAAACACGTCATCAGAGAAAAGATGTTGCAAAAGAGCGGGCAAAAGTTATAAAAAGTAACTATTTAGGCTAATAAATTTAAAAATTAATTAGCAAAAACTGCAATATTCCATTAAAAAAACAAAAACAAGAATTGTCCATTACGATTTCATAATCAGCGCGCGACTTCTTTTCAGGCCAATCACAATTCAATATGCAAATGTCTTAAAACGACCATATACATAATAAATACGTAGGCTTATTAATGTATCTTTTCTGTATGTCTTTGTAAAGGCGCTATATAAAATATTGTTTATTGTTCTTAATGTTATAATTGCTGAAGCAATAGCATTTTATGCCTTGCAAAGAGTGACAGCCAAATCAATTGGTTTTCAATCAATCAACGTTACTGTTTTCTTACTGACATTTGAGTTTGTGAACAAGCGTAGCTGTACGTCGAACACGTACGACTCTTCCGATTATTAAATATTTACACATATATAAAGTCTTTATATATTTAAATATGTTTCTTTGCAGGCTACCATCAGGCGCTAACAACCACGGCAACGGTGAGCTGAGATGACAAGCACATCGCCCAAGAAAAGATTGCATTTACAACAGATTTGGGATGGACATAATCTGGACCAAAACATACCTCAAAACCGGACCGAATGTTGAAAATTCCCACACTGGATTTCATACACGCATTTGGTAGATCCAGAACGCCGGTAGGAGACATTACACCACCGTGCATGCTCTCAGTCGTCCACTGAACGTACTACTTCCGGTTTTATAGAGAGAAGTAATAAAGTTTTTACAAAGCTTCTTTTACAGCACAAGAGCGCCATCATCTGGATAGTCTGCGTGCATTATCGAACTATTGAAGATACTGTCGAAATTAAATTAGGCAGCAGCAGCGATTGAATAAACAACAACAACATCAAAACACAAGCCTAGACAATAATTAACAGTACAAACACGCAAATAGACAGGCAGAAACGTGTTAAATGAGATATAAATTATTTAGAATGTTGATAGTGTTTATAAATATATTGTAGTCTAAATAAAGCGATGTAGAATGTAAAGTTAATTTGAGCATTTAATATCAAACTTTGTTTGGATTTGTATATTTTTCTTCATTTGTATACATTTGTATATATATTAGCATGCATAGCCTACAGATGTACATTAGCCAAATTTTAAAAGCATCTGTTTTAGGGTTCAGTTTTCACATTTGGGTAACACTTTACAATAAGGTTTAATTTGTTAACATTAGTTAATGTATAAATAGTTAAGCCTATCTTTGTTAATTTTAGTTAATACAGCTGTTCATTGTTTGTTCATGTTAGTTCAGTGCATTAACTAGCCTAATGTTAATAAATAGCCTACAAATTTTTAATAGTGTTAATCAATGTTGAAATTCAAATGAACAAATAATTCTTAGTTCATGTTAATAACTATGATATAATGAAACCTTATTGTAAGTGTTCCATATTTGAAATGACAGACTTTCAAAACAAAATAAGACTACATCGATGTCATGATCATTTGTTTTCGCGTTCACAGTCTCAAAAAACGAGACTGAATAAGAGCAATGGAAAAATAGTGAACGGAGGTGTTACAGAATGCACATTTATCATAAACGTATCTGGTGCCTCATTTTCAGGATATTAATTGTTTGTTAAATTAACTTTTATTTTTAAACATTTGTATGCCGGTATTTGTATTGCTTGTCGATTAAATAAAATCGACCAGGAGTCGTTAGATTTCTGTTTACTGTAGTCTATCTGCAGTCTATCTATCTATATACATATATTAAATCAGTAATGCATTTCTTATCGATAATACCTTTTCAAAAGGTGTCACTCAGTAACAGCGCCTGTCTGCCTGTGCGTCTGTGAGCGTGTGCTCGAGCGGCGACGCGCCTGTATTGAGGAGTCGTAGGGCGCTACAGCTGCTCTCTTATGAAACAATAGAAGGCTATATGGGCATCAATTCCCCATCAAGCTCCCTTGGCGGTTAATCTGCGCCCCTCCGTCCTACACAATACGAATTTGCATAATTTCCCCCCAGATTTATCCATTAACATGCATAGGCTTCGGTGTATGGTATGACATTAATTTGGTTTCTAAAATATGGCCTAGATAGAAATGCATATGTTAAAATATTGCTGTCTTTATTTCAGGGCAAACAATTACTATAATTGTGGCGTTTCTATGTCTGTGATAGATAGAAAAAGTAATAACTGTGCATCATCTTTGCCCTTATTTTATTTGCTCAAATTACTATAGTAATTATGAACTTTAGTGGTCGAACTAAATCTAAAAGTTTAATCTAACGAGATTAATGCTTTGAGAGAGTTAATCTAAAACGTTAAATAAAAAAAAACTTTACCATTGTTTTGGGGTGCTGTCATTGAATTATTCAAATCAAAAAGTAACTAACAGTCTGCAGAAACGTTGTATCGTGTTGATTTATATCGAAACGTATTAATTAATCAGCTTTTGATACTCAAAAACGAATCCAGCCGATTAAGTCACTTTAATAAATATAAGTCATAATTGCATATTTTCGTTAAAATCTGACTTGGATGTCCATATAGTGTTTGATCTAAGCGGGGCGTCAGCTGGACCGACCACTCTTTCATTCAACGTTTTCCACCTCACAGGAACGCCGATACTCCGCATTGACTCACTCATTCATTCAGCACTCCGCGCGCAACACATAGAACACAGTACTACTACAGCCAACATAGTACACACAGCCTTTGCTTTAGCTGAGACAAGAAACACACACATACACTCCGTATTTTGTATTTACCCGCCATTTAAAACACTCGTGACGTTTCACAAAAGACAGCCAATCGTAATCCGGCTGTTATTAGGACAATGGAAAGCGCTCAGCCAATCGCAGGAATGCTTGCCGTGGCGGCAGCCAATGGAATGGAAGCCCTATTGAGAGTAATGCTAGAGGGTTGAGAGACCAGACTACTGCGTAGCGCTATTACATCCACATACAGCCATTGCAGTACATTCACTATCCAGACAAGACAGCGGTAAGTGTCAAGCTTATAGACATTTCAAAGTATGAGGTAAGTACAAAAAATGCGAGAAAAGGCCAGGAAACCATACGGAATTGAAATTTACCTAGTAAAAAAAGCAATTTTATTGGTGAGGGGATTTTTATGAAACGTTAAAAATATATGGGATAATCCCCTCAGAAGAGAATAACCGTTTTTATTTCATTCGTCTTGATGTAACTGTTAACGTTACAGCTTAAACAATAACGGAAAATTGTCGGTTTTATTCGAAGGTTGAAATACTGAAAATATGAGGGGAAAAAATAATTTATTCAGACTATTCGAAATGTAACGTAAAGCGGACAACTGTTCGGTGACAGAATTGCGTACAAACAAGGTCTATGGACGGTGATAGTGCCAGCTAGCAGCCATTGCAGCGCTTTATAAGGGATGTCTGTCAGAAGAAGACAGTGAACTATTAGAAATGATAAGAAAGAAAAAAATCTGACTAGCGAAAAAATTAAAGCATAACGCCATTCTAATGTGTGTGGATTTATACGCTCGGTTATATTGAAATGACAGAGATATGGGGGGAAGAAAATTACCTCAGAAGCTGCGCTTTACTGTAATGGCTGACTGTACTCGCATAGGAAACAAGGCAAAGCCATAGAGCCATAGACAGGCGCAGTTCGCTTCAACTTTTTCAGATCGTATTTTCTACCCCGCCAAGCTCAAAGTACACGTTTTTTGAGGCGGAAAATAAAAATTCCATCTTTCGTCGTTCCAACCGTGGTATTTTGATATTTTTCCGCGCGTGAGAAGGGTGTTAAATTGAGAGTTGAAGTGAGGTAGGTAATGCAGTCGCGCGGCTCCCCCCTATTGCAAAGCAGTGTAATGGCTGAGCGCTGACACAAAGAGAAGGAGCCATATTCTCAGTGTTGAGTGCATGAAGACAAGCGGCCATTGCGAGCCTACTGCAACTCTGCACAGCACAGACCCAATGTATTACTATACACCAGGCAAATGCATTGGGCTTTTTGCGAAGGAAACAATTTTCGGTCAGGAAAAGTGACCCGCGCCGTTTGTTTGTCGTGTCCAAAAGTGAGCAGGAAGGCGGGTGGAGACATTTTAGAGGGACTTTCTTTCATGAAGACGGCTTTCTCACAAAATGGAAGAAGAAATATTGCCGTCGTTGTTGACCTCCTTTCCTTCAGCGAGACGAGAGTGTGCGCCATTGCTATTTCAACGGTACATAGAGAGAAATGGGCTCTTTTCAATGGAGAACACGGCAAAAGTGAACTTGAATATTTAGAAATTTTACGAGTTTTTCGATGTCTCGCGTACTTTGCCACATTTAATAACTTAAATCAACTTACTTATTTTCACAGTTTTAACCCTTTTTTTAACTTTGAAAAAATAAGGTTTTGGAAAATGAGGATTTATAGCAACTTTTCAGATGTTTATTGACGACATCAAAAATCGTCAAATTCGTCGCGAAGAAAAACTGCGCTCCTTGTAGATGTTAAATACAAAAAAAAAACTAGTTAATTATGTTCATGTTTTCACGTTAAAAGAATAATTTCGCTAGTCAAGTTAATTTTTAAGAACATAGCTAGCGCTACGAGTAGAATTTAATACCAAGTAGATTTTGATATGTATGTAAAAAAAAAAAAGAATTTAATTTTTATTATTATTTTTTTATCAATTCAGGAGATTTAGGCCAAGATGGGGAAGGATCCAACAAAACCAAGAGGCAAAATGTCCTCGTACGCATACTTTGTCCAGACCTGCCGAGAGGAACATAAGAAGAAACACCCGGAGGCATCGGTCAACTTCTCTGAGTTTTCCAAAAAGTGCTCTGAGCGATGGAAGGTAAGTCACACCTTTTTATTTACACTTTGTTAATGTCATTTCCCTCTCTTCCCAACAATGATTTGTTTTCATCCCTTCCTCAGACTATGTCAGCTAAGGAAAAAGGGAAGTTTGAAGATATGGCCAAACTTGACAAGGTGCGTTATGAGAGGGAGATGAAGAACTACATTCCACCCAAAGGCGAGAAGAAAAAGAGGTTTAAAGACCCCAATGCTCCCAAGAGACCCCCGTAAGCATCTTGCTAGTTCATTTAGATGCATTGACATGTGAAGCATTCAAAATCAATAATTTTTTTAATCCTCTGTTCTATCAAAGGTCAGCATTCTTCATTTTCTGCGCCGAGTTCCGACCCAAGGTAAAAGAAGATACCCCTGGTCTGTCTATTGGAGACGTGGCCAAGAAACTGGGTGAGATGTGGAACAAAACAGCATCTGAGGATAAGCAACCATATGAAAAGAAGGCTGCCAAGCTGAAGGAGAAGTATGAGAAGGTGAGAAAAGATGCCATGGCTAATCAGTATCATACAAAACAAATAATAATAATAATACAACGTTAACTAAACATCTCATATTCCTTTTAGGACATTGCCGCCTATCGCTCTAAAGGCAAAGTGGGAGGCGCCACAGCCAAAGCCCCTTCCAAGCCGGACAAGGTTAACGATGATGACGACGACGACGATGATGATGATGAGGAAGATGACGATGATGATGACGACGACGATGACGAGTAGATAAATAACGTTTATAGCTTAGCTTGTTGTCTATAAAGCATTTAACCCCCCTGTACACTTTATTGAGGCCATAAAATGGGTAAATGAAAAATATAAAAAGCCTGAAAAGCAAAAAAAAAAACAAAAAAAATAATGCTGTGTATATGATATGTTTTTAAGCTGTACAGTTTCTCTCTTTTTTTTTCCTTTTTTGTATAGTTAACACTACAGGAGTGTCATCTGTGTTCGTCCAAATGCCCCAAACCTTAATTTAGTTCTTAGTTCAATTTCTTAAAGATGGTTCCAACACCACTATCCTTACCTGGTACAGTAAAAAAGAAAAGGGGGTTGTAAAATTGTCTTGGGGTCAGTGGAGTTTTAGACGTGCGCAGCACACAACCTAGTTTCATGTGAGGTTGTAGTTCATATCTTAATGTACTTTTGTTTGTTTACTCTTTTTCCAGATCAAATATTATCATCATTAGTAAATGGCCGCATCAAAGTTATTTTACTGTATTTTGAATACCACTGTAATTGCAGAAATGATTTTTAAAAAATGTAATTGTTTTGCTCTGGTATGCTTCTGACATCAATAAACTCAGTTGTTTTTTTAAAAGAATTTTCCGTACATTTCTTCATAGAAAAGATTTACCATTTGTAATCGAACTTAAAATGTAGTTGGATTTATTCTAAATAATTTTTAAGAAACTTGGATATAGATATTTTTTTTTCTATATAACTTTCAGATTTTCTAATATTGCAAGTGAATGGTGAGTCTTGGTTTGTCATGTCTAGTTTTTTTTTCAAAATTTGATTGTGAATGCATTAACAGATGAGCATAATGTTCTAATATTAAATACCTTTTATTTGTAATTTAAAGCTATTATTGAAGACAGATGCCAAGCTCAATTATCTTTATATTGATTTCCCCATTTGATCATATTGATCGTTTTATTGGGTCAGTAGATTTGAATGTATGTTACAGTACACCAACCAGTGAGTCTGTTTTGTGGCCTTCATGTTTTGCTTGACAAGAGGCTTAAAAAGAACACATGAATGTATCACCAGATGTAAATCTCGATTAATCCGAGCCGCCTGCTGTTCATCTGGTTAAACTGCACATTACGGCGGTATACAGCGCCATCGTATGATTATTTTGTGGTACTGTCATATGTTTATACAGGGCATGACACTTCAATCAGATTATAATAGAGATCAGCAGCTCTACATTCATGTTTTTCATTCCCTTATTTTTGAGCTTGTGTTTTCAGTGGTTAATATATAGGGATGGATGGATTTTATTTAGTTTTTTACTCTGACATGTTTTTGAAAAGTCTTAAGTCGGTGATGCACACAACTAAACAGGGTTGTTTGAACCCAAATTTGGGTCAAGTATGGACAAACCCAAATGTTGGGTCAAAAATGTTAATTTTAACCCAACTGTAAAATTTTCAAATTATTTTTTAAACCAACATTTGGGTTTGTCCATATTTAAAAAGAGTTGTCTGCATCAAAAGAGTTGTCTGCATCACCGACTTAAGACTTTTCAAAAACATGTCATTACAAACATGACATTTCTAATTCTATTCTATCATTTGGTATGGTATAGAAGAGACTGGGGTTAGTTGTCACACATTTTACTCCATTGGATATTTATCATGATGTTTCATCTTGGCTACAAAAACAATAACATGATTAACATTTATGTAATTACCCATGTAAAAAAAATAGAGGTAAATAGAATTTTAAAGCAAACACATATTGTTACCGTTACTTTATAACCAGTGGTGATGCCAAGCAACCAAAAAGACAAACATTAAAAAAAATGTGTACTGTTTGTTGCAATTCCCATTATTTACATTATTTCATGATTTCTATTTGTACATGCTTTACAATGTTGTAATTAGCAAATAATTTACATGTGAGGCAGATTTTTTATGTGACAGCATTAATTAAAGTTTATTAAGGGCAGTGCCGGTCCCGTGGCTGTGGTTGCAAGAGGTAAAAACGATATAAATACTGTTTTGTCACACAAACCGCTCGTTTCGTGTCTTAGGCCATCTATGTGTACTTACATTTACGAGTCATTAAATCATATTTAATTTGGACTTCTCTGTGCATGCTCTTAGACCTGCATTATATGACTGACAGACAAGAACGGTTTGACCTAAAAATATCAAAATTGAAAATACTGCGGAAACAAAGACACCTACATCTTGGATGCCCTTGAGGTAAGCTAAAACATATAAAAAAATAATTTCAAAGTGAACTATCCCTTTAACATTATAATATTATTTTCAGATTAAGATCCTAACAATTCTGGATCAAGTCAAAACGGTAAAAGTCCTGATAAGTGAGTAGCCCACGTACGAAAAACGGGGTTCTTCAGTTTATCACCGGGTTGAGTGAGTTGTATTTTCCCAGGCCCCGCCTACCACACGCACATGCACTCATTCATTAGTCAGCGTCTTTCCGCGGCCATGGCAACATCAGTGCGCAACGGACTCTGGACCGCTCGAATGTAAAAGTGCCTCGAATAAAGGTAAGACGTTTACTCATTATCATGCAAACGTAGAATTAAATGTAGAACATATCGGTCATATCGCATGTCCTTAGAAGGATTCATAAACTAACAAATGGACTTCGTATTTTGTTTCCTTGCAAATCCTTTTTGTTACCAATGGCCTACATCTTAAGCAGTGTTGCTGTTGCCTTATGGGTAATGCAGTTCTCTATTGCAGTTTTCGCTATTTGTCTGTACTTTAAGGCAAACAGAAAACAACTACAAGTCCCACGCAAAGGAATATGAAAGAGGGGTGGTGTTTGAGCTGTCTTTACATACAAACACGACTTGATCAATTTGATTTTATTGGAAAAAATAATTGAATTGAGTCATTCATGGTCGACTGTAGGGTTAATATTCAGCTACTGCGTTTTCAACCGATACAATAATTACTTTATATTCATAACCTGATTTGATTGGTCTTAGTTTGATTGGTCTAGAAACAAAATACATTTTACAGAAGCCAAATTGGTAATCGAATGGACTAACATTGCAACCTTTAATATAAGATTTGTATATAAATAAGAAACTATCGGAGATCTAAAAATAAGTTATCATGATTGATATCTTAAAGTTAAGATTTTTCATTTTTCTTAAAAAAAAACCGCTAATAATTTCGGGAAAAGACTATTTAGTTATTGGCACAATTTATCTACTACCATCAGCTTATGTCAGTATTTATATTGCATGAAATTAATTTTAGGGAAATTTTAATGATAATGATTAAAAATAATTCTACATAGAAATTTTTACACACTCTACATAAAAGTTTAGTACAGAAAAGTGACAATGAATTTAATTTGCTTGTTTTGTAATTGTTATAAACATTTCTTATTCTTACACCCACAAATGCAACTCATTCTATCTGATAGTTTTGCTGTACAGATTCCCTGGAACATCCTTGACACAAAGGTTGACGTCTAGCATAACAGTTCTTTAAATAGCTTTTGGACTGTATTTTGTAAAATATTTGAATCAAAATAAAAGACGAGACTTTACACTCAGTGAGTCTGGAAATGTGCAGACTGCAGAGACATTTTAATGCTGCTCTTGATGATTTGTCAGAAAGTGACAAATCACCACTCTTCTGTTGCTATCATTATAAATATAAATGTTTGATTTGCCTCCGCATCATCTCATCAGATTCTCTGTTTTTCGACATGTTTAGGACTCATGGCCTTCAATCAACCATACTCAAACCAGCTTCTCTAATGACGCTGTGAACTCCGGTTGCATTAAAGCGCTGAAACAACATTCAGTTTGATTTCTTTCTCATCATGAATCTGACTGAGATTTGCGACAATGCTAAGAAAGGAAGAGAATATGCGCTACTGGGGAACTATGACTCGTCCATGGTGTACTACCAAGGTGTTATACAACAGATCCATAAGCACTGTTTGTCCCTCAGAGATCCTGCCCTGAAAGTCAAATGGCAACAAGTAAGGCTCTGATATGTGTTCATGACCATTTATATGTCCTACAACAGGGTTTAGCTAAAGAATATAGTTGTGTTGGTACAGTATACGTATTCTGAAGGACTCAATCCAACGTTGCCCCCTCCCTAGATTCGGCAAGAACTGGCAGAGGAATATGAGCAGGTGAAAAGCATTGTAAACACCCTGGAGAGTTTCAAGATGGACAAACCAGTTGATTTCCCAAACCCTTTGGCTGAAGAAAGCCCAAGGGACCCTGATGTCTGGCCTCCACCAACCCCAGCAGAGCACAGGTAGTATAGGCAGCTGATTACATAAACCCCTGAGGAGTTCTGTCACATGTTTCCTATCTTCATGCTGTCACTACCATGTTCACTCACGCACTGTTTTGTCATACAGCACAAAAAGGAATTAGGTATATATATATATCGGTAGCCCTAATATATGTATGTATATGTATAAATATATATATATATATATATATATATATACGTATATATATATTAGGGTTGGGTATTGACCCAAATTTCATGATTCTTTCAGCCAAACACAATCAGAGTTATGTTAAATTATAATCTGGCTATTCCAAGCTTTTTTCCAGCCATCATAAAAGTAATCCATACGGCTCCAAAGACTTTCTTTTTGTAAGAAAAATATCCATATTTATAACTTTAAAAACTAATGTTACTGACTTCCGATAACTTCAGAGGTCCCTCTTCTGCAGGAACTAGTCTTGCGTACTGCCGTTACCGAAAGCCAGTGATTATCAAAATCTAAGGTGTCATTCACTCCAATTATAAAGCTTGGAAGAGTCAGGATATTTTTTACATTTTTTATTTATTTTGGCTGAAAGAAGGAGGACATATACAACTTTAATAACATATAAAACATTGTTTAAACCTTTCCGATAAAGTTATAAAATTATTTCCTATTGTCAGGCTTGAAAACTTTTGTGCTGCTTAATATTTTTGTGGAAGCAAGAATATTTTCATGATTCTTGTCCCAATGAATAAAAGTATTAATTTCTTTCAAAAAAAATCTTACTGACCCCAAACTTTTGAATGTTCTTATAAATTATACTGTACACAAATACACAAAAACTCCAAACTAAATGCACTAACACGAACTTAGTTTTCACATGTGGTCACATGACTCTGTCTGGTCATAGGGGACCTGTCCAGGTGAAGAAGCCGGTCCCCGTATCAAAGCCTCAGAGGAAAGAGTCACCTGGGATGCAGCATCGCGGACCTGTGGGGAGGGGTCAGCTCAACGTCAAATCAGATAGACCGAACACCCGTGACGGCCGTGGAAATAAAGTTAAGGAGGATAAAGTAAGTTACCCAAACTATAACACCGTGTCTAGACCGACGTGGCCGTTAATGGGTTGCATCGCGCTGCAACAGCTAGAAGCTGTCTACACTGGATGCGACAAAGCGACCATTGCAAATTCATTTGTCCTTCCTATGAGAAGTATCACAAGTACTTGGAGTACATCATAAATCGATCAAGCCACGGCATCAATTTAATGTCGGGATTTGTTGTGTCTGATCACTTATTATAATGGGCTCTACTGTCTTTTGTCACGTCACATTGTGCCGTTCACGTCCAGTGACAGAGACAGTGTTGGGGCTAATGTACAAGATGAAGAAATGAGAATTGGATTTGGGGTTGATTTTATTTCAGACTTGACCATTTAATTTTTCTTGGTGCCTATTATCATGTGTCGTATCTGTCTGTGTTTTCAGAGTAAGAAGAATTCCCAGGAGGGTGCTGCTGATGTGGAACAGAGGAAGTTTGATGGCACCGGCTTTGACAGCGATCTGGTGGATGCACTGGAGAGAGATATTGTGTCCCGGAATCTCAATATCCACTGGTATTGTCCCATTTTACTCCTAGTTTTACTTTCCAAGTATTTATGATATTTTACTAAATAAATATTTTTTATGCAACATTTGTAGATCATGTGCTATCATTAAATTAACTTAAATCTTATTCATTTATTCTTTATTAAATCTTGGTCTTTAATCTCCCATTGGTGCCCAGAAAATCTCAATAATATGATACATTTTGTGAGATTTTGTCATAATAACAGTTAGCCTACTGGCATAGGAGGGTGTCCCGAGAGCTTAGCGCGGACATGGGGACCGAAAATGGTAGTGTGGCAGCAATGCAAAGGTTTTTACAAAGTAACCATGGAGACAGTTTCTCGAAATACGACTTTATTCTCGAAATTTAAAGAGTTCTTTTCTCGAAACACAACGACTTTATTCTCGAAATTTAATGAGTTTATTCTCATGATTGTATTTCGACTTTTTTTCTCGAAATTTAACAAGTTTTTTCTCAAAACACAATGACTTTATTCTCGAAATTGAATGAGTTTGTTCTCAAGATTGTATTTCGACCTTTTTTTCTCGAAATTTTACGAGTTTTTTCTCGAAACACAACGACTTTATTCTCGAAATTTAATGAGTTTGTTCTCAAGATTGTATTTCGACCTTTTTTTCTCGAAATTTTACGAGTTTTTTCTCGAAACACAACGACTTTATTCTCGAAATTTAATGAGTTTGTTCTCAAGATTGTATTTCGACCTTTTTTTCTCGAAATTTTACGAGTTTTTTCTCGAAACACAACGACTTTATTCTCCATATTTAATGAGTTTATTCTCAAGATTGTATTTCGACCTTTTTCTCGAAATTTAAAAAAAAAATTCTCGAAACACGACGACTTTATTCTCATTATTAAATGAGTTTATTCTCAAAATTTTATTTCGACTTTTTTCTCGAAATTTTACGAGTTTAATCTCGCATTATAATGACCTTAATCTCGAGATGGTTTTATTTTTTTAGTATAGCTTGGCCCTAATCCTCTTCCATAGATTTGGAACTACATGAGACTATTTTTTGTCTTTCATTTTTGGCTAGTTTGGTTATCCCCACAGCATCCAAAAAGAGTTTGTACTTTCAGTTCGATGTAGCACATTTTTCCAGATTGTTTTTTTAAATCAAAATCAACCCAGAAAATGTGAAAAAACGTTCTGGGCCTATGCACTATCTGTATAAATAGTGAAGCAGTGAGTTTAGTTTTCGCACTTCTCCAGAGTGTAGTTGTTGTGTGTGGAGTCAGCGACGGCTGTCGGTCACAGTGGCAGGTAGTGATTCAGTGCTGGACAGTGATTCAGGCAAGCTGTCTTGTGTTACTGTTCCTGCAGGGATGACATAGCAGATCTGGAAGATGCCAAAAAGCTGCTGAGAGAGGCAGTGGTCCTGCCGATGTGGATGCCAGACTTCTTCAAGGGGATCCGCCGCCCGTGGAAGGTTAATATGTTAGATGACACCTAATGCCAGAGTCTGACATCTAAGCACGCATGCATATGGATGCAGTGTCTGTCATATTGTTTTTTGCCAAAATGTATGTCTGTTTCTTGTAATGATGTTTGTTTTTTTTAGTCCACCAGGGGGCGCTCTTAAGTCAGTTCATTAGTACTGTATCATTCGTCACAGATTGAGTCGGGTTGATATATTTCTACTTCAGTTTGTTTTTCACATACCATCTGGTCTACTGAAGTGTTTTTTTCCCACAAGCCATCAACTGCATCGTTGTTGTTTTTAAAATATGTGCCCGTGTGAAGATGATACCAATGCATGTTGTTCTTAAACTGTCAGGGGGTGCTGATGGTGGGGCCTCCAGGTACAGGGAAGACCATGCTGGCTAAAGCGGTGGCGACCGAATGTGGCACAACATTTTTCAATGTGTCGTCCTCCACGCTGACCTCAAAATACAGGGGAGAGTCTGAGAAACTGGTGCGGCTCCTCTTTGAAATGGTGAGTGGTCTCAGTGTAGACACTGTGTATTTGGCACAGAAGTACTCTGTCATACGACCAACTTGCCACGTTTAGCATGAGAATCCAACTCTTTAACAGTGTAAATCCGCCAGAATGCATGAAATCGCGTTAGACACCCCCTTTAAATATACGCATAAGACGATATTACAAGATCTGATTATTTTTTTTGTTTTAACAGGCTCGTTTTTATGCTCCCACGACAATTTTTATTGATGAGATCGACTCTATTTGCGGGAGGCGGGGCACATCAGATGAACACGAGGCCAGTCGCAGAGTGAAGTCCGAATTACTCGTGCAGATGGATGGTGAGTTTTGTGTAGTAAACGACCCTGTTATGATAGAATAATACAGCCGTATTTATTTAACGCCTACCCGTGTAATGGCATCAGGGGTAGGAGGTGCTCAAGAGAGTGACGATCCCTCTAAAATGGTAATGGTCCTGGCTGCCACTAACTTCCCCTGGGACATTGACGAGGCTCTAAGGAGACGACTGGAGAAGAGGATCTACATTCCACTGCCCACTGGTAATCTAACAACCTCACACACAAACGCCCATCAACAGGACTACATTCTCCAGGCAGTCACGGCTTTCACCCACTCATAAATGAACCTGCCTTACTCATTTCTATCCATTCACACTGTGCTGTGCAGTTCGGTCAGTTAGTCATTACTCGTGAGCTTTCATTGTCTCATGCAACTCGTTTGTTATGGTTAAAGGGCCTGGATTTTAGAATTTCAAATTTCAAAAAAGGTCATATTTCTCCCTGAAACCAAAAGGACAGAATTAGAAATTGTATAAATAAAATGGAGATTGAATTATTTGACGTTATTTGACATTTTCATTCCTGATTTAAAATAACACATTTTTAAAAAGTTATTTATAATGTATTTACCACATTCTAAGGAAAATAAGTCGTACCTGATTATAAGTCGCACTGGATCAATATTGTATTGTTGAGAGAGAAAGAATACATTGGTCACGTAAGTCAAATTTTATTAATTTTCAGAAATAATGTAAAATAACAGTAAATAAAACAAAACATTTACAGACATTATAAACGTGTATTATAGTTCTCCTCACTCCATATTCACAGAACTGGAATGAAAACTATAAGTTTAAAACAAACATAAATTATTGTTGAATTCATTGTAAACAACATTTATTAAAGGCAAACTAAAAGTACCAGTATGTGGGGAAATGCGCTATACAAATAAACTTGGGCTCACATACCACTGTCATTCAGCTGGAATCCAAATGTATTGGCTTTGTCTTGCTTTACTTTAATTGCATTATGCAAGTTGCTTTGGAATATAAATCTCAGCATGTTTCAGATCATTAAAAAAACGTAATATATTTATATATGTATATATAGTTTAAATATATATATCAGGAAATATGGTAGTCAAAATAATGTTTTATTATTTTGAGCAATAAAAAAAGAATAAAAGCATAATCATTTTTTTGATTAAAAGAAAACATGGCTTTCATTAAACCATTACTGAACTCCACAGCTGAAGGACGGGCAGAACTGTTAAAGATCAACCTACGGGAAGTTGAAGTGGAATCTGACGTGGATCTCGCCCTCATCGCTGAGAAAATTGAGGGTTATTCAGGAGCTGACATCACCAACGTCTGCAGGTACAGTGTGTTTTCAGGATTACAGATAAAACCTTGTCCAAACTGAATGCTTCAAGCATCATGTCATTTTTCTGCCCTTGGTAAAAATATAACTGTGCAAAGCGACAAAATCACAGCCAAACAGACTCAAGCGTGGCTGCCTGGGTCCTTTAGTATATTTTCCATTCATTTTTCCGTCAGCATTGCAGAAAATTCCTGAATAGAAGAATTATCTTGAACCAAACCAACCAGCTTCAGCTAAAAGGACAAAGTGTGTTTTAACAGGGACCAATCTCAAATAGCACTGAAAAAGATTTAATCAATCCAGACTGGGTTTATAAGTTTTGTATGTACTAATTAAGGAGTGATAGAAAGTATTTTGTTTTATTTATTTATCTAGATGGATAGATAGATCAAATAAAATACTTTCTGTGTAGTTTATATATATATATATATAATGAGGCAATATTAGACCCTTATACAAAGTCTTGATTTTGTTTTAAGGGTCTACTAGAAGTACTTATATGGTTACACTTTATTTCGATAGTCACTTTAGACGTTCTACTAATTATAAGTAACTTTTCAACTACATGTCAAGTAACTCTCATTAGTGTATTATTATATTAAAGTAGACTGGTTATGGTTAGGTGTTTGGCTTTGGGTTAGGAGAATAAGTTTACTTGTAGTTGCCACGTTACTTATAGTCAGTTGTTGAATGTCTGTTGGGGGACCTACAAAATAAAGTGTTAGCAGATATTAAGTTGATACTCTAAAGACAGTTAGTTGACTTGTAGTTGAAAAGTTACTCATAGTTAGTAGAATGTCTGAAGTGGACTATCGAAATCAAGTGTTACCATTTATTTATTCAAGCATGAAACCTAATTTTTTTTCAAATATGTACATTATTACAGTAATGTAACTCGCTGATTAACTACCACAGTATGATGCATTGTTGGAAAAACGAAGCGACTCGCACCCCTGTCGTTTGAACCACTGTTGTTATTCATGTCACGCGCAGGTGGAGGAGTGATGCTGTAATGAACGTGGCACCTAATGGCCTGGTTTCACAGACAGGGCTTAGATTAAGTCAGGATTAGGCCTTAGATAAATTAGGACATTTAAGCAGCTTTTATAAACGTGCCTTAGTAAAAAACATGTGCATCTTGAAACAAAACAATGGCAGTGATATGCCAGTGCAAGTTGCTTTCAATTAAAACGGATCACTGGGTTCACTCATGGGTCATACTGCATTTGCATTTACGCCACTCTTAAAAAAACGTCACTGATTTTGTTGACCTGCTAAAATATATAGACTGAAACGTGCATATATATATTCATTGAATTAACGATATCTGCTCTGCATGTTAGCTTGCTTATTGTGCCAAAGAGTCTTATTAAAGTCTATATCATTCTAACAAACAGTGTTGTAACTCATTACTAAATATTTATTACTGTAATTCAGTTACTTTTTCCTTGAAAAATTAAAGTAAGCGATTACACTTATTTTTTTTATTATATTTTTGCAATTTAATTACAGCTACTTTGTGCAATTACAGCTACTTTAATGCAATGTAATTGCATTAAATACTGTATACACTCTTAGAAGGAAAGGTTCTATATAGAACCTTAAAAGGTTCTGAAGCGCTACGTATTTGGAACCCCTAAAATGCAATGCATGTGAATGATCACAAAATTCAAGATATGGGGGTTAAAATGTAATTAATCAATATCACACAAAGAGTGCCATTTTAGTTTTTATCCTCCAAAAATCTGCATGATTAAAATGTGATATTAAGTTACTACAGCAGTTTAATAAACAATAATTTAATAACAACTACAAAATGTTGCAGAATAATGTAATATATGAATGAATAATAGCCTTTGTGCCAAAAGTGTTCTTTCTTGTCATTATTGAACCTTTTTTTAGCATAAAATGCCCTTTGGGGTTGAGTAAAGAACCCTATGCTACATATATAGAACTAAGAGTGTAGACTATAGAACAATTCTATAAACAAACCAAAGTGAATTTCTAATGTTAAATTTTTTGTTTTTAGTGTAACCTTCTCCTTTTAAATACTTTGGTCAGTGCAACTAAAGTGAAAAAAGCATAAACATGTTGATTTGACTGCTGAACTTGTGTTTGTTCTCTCAGAGATGCATCAATGATGGCCATGAGAAGGAGGATCATGGGCCTGAGTCCGGAGGAGATCCGTGCTCTTTCTAAAGACGAGCTGCAGATGCCAGTCACCATGGAGGACTTTGAGCTTACACTCAAGAAGATCTCCAAATCCGTGTCGTCTTCAGACCTGGAGAAGTACGAGTCCTGGATGTCCGAGTTTGGGTCTGTGTAAAAGTCAAGTGAGAAAGTGGGAGAGCACATTGTGGACCAATACTAGGAGAAAAGGCACGGTTTTATGTTTCCAAGACATTTTTTATTTTCAAATGTGACTTTATTTCAGGATAACCCCTTGAGATGTTACATCTCATTTTCAAGGTGGTCCTGCAGCATATAATATGCTACTGAATACTAGTTAAACCGGTGTTCAGATGTGTTCGGACATGTTTGAACCGAGAGGAGTTGCATAAATGCACTAGCGGTCTGTGTATGGCACTGAGCCACTTTTATTTGTTTCTAGCATCTCAGTTTCAAGTCATTTCTAACTTCATTCTCTTCTAACAGATGGAGAGCACATGAGTTGCTAATGATCTGTTTTTAGTTTCAAAAACTGAAAAGCTTGTGAAAATTATACTTGACGAGGGAGTTCTGGTACAGTACTGGATGTTTTTTTTTAATGTTTGATAGTGTGTAGACACTCATAGGTGCTGTGTTCTTTTATTTGCTTTACTTTGATAGTTAATAAAATTAACATTTATTCTCTACCTATTACGTGTGTTTTGGCCAGAAACAAACAAAATGTACCTTATTTACTTTCTCAATACAAGTTTTAATTATAGAAATTTTGTGTTTGAATTGTTCGTGGCACCGCTGTCGAAGTGGACATACCTAAGTTAACGAAAGTTATCATGAGCATTTTATAAATAATTAAAATAATGTCAAATAAATAATTAAAATAATGCGTGTAAAATAATTATACACAGTGCACCCACATATATTATGTAAACACAAACTATTATTTTGGATGCGATTAAACGTGATTAATCGTTTGACAGCCCTAAAAAAGACGCAGAATCCCTTTCCAAACAACTTTCTGTTGGCCATGGCAACAAATCAGCGTGACCAACTTGACCAATCCTGTTGCGAAATCTTTCAACAAATCCTTAATTAATACTCATTGATTAATGTATTCTAATTTCGCAATTGGAATTGGGGCATCATCAACACATCTACTGTTTAAAAGAGGCATTTGCACTTTGTATGACTCCTTTATCCCTAAAACTGTATTCTGGACAAATGTGGGCAAAATATTTTTGATTTATTTTTAAAAAATACTTCCCTTGATCTGAGCGGTTCAAGACTTGACTACTTTTCCTAAGTTTTCCTCCTGAACACACACACATTTTTTTGACTCAATTCTACAATGTTAAGTGGGTCAAAAATGGGCACCCATAGAAATGAATGGGAAAAACTAATTTAGAGCATTCTATAATAAGCCAAAATAAGACACCAGGTGACAGCAAAGTCACTTCATCTTTAGGTTTTAGCTCTAAGAACTTATTGGAATGATATTTTAATGTAGTTAAAACAATTAAAAAATAAAACATAAAAATAAGCATAATTTACATAGAAAATATGGTACATTTTGAAGTAAATAAATTCAAAAATACCCCCAAAATACAAAAAAACCCCATAAATGGATAGACAAAACTTTATCGAAGACAGTGATATAACATTTATTACAAATAAAAATGAGGATCACACCTGAGTCCTCTGTGCCCACATTTGTCCACAATTACAGGATTAAGGGCTATAAAGTGAATACGGTTTGAGGACTACAGTCAGTTGTTCTTGTGTCCTACAGCAGCAGAAGGGTGTGACTCAGTGGTCAGGAGGAGGACAGTGAGGAGAAGATGACTCTTGTTGTGTGGGTGAGGGCTGTGTGTGTGATTTATTGTTTTCTGATACGGTAACCGTCATGATGTGTTGTCAGCCTGAAGGGAAGTATTCATGATTGTTATGAAAGTATTTATGTTCTGCTTTTTAATTATTTACATACCAGCATAGATGGCATCGGATTAAATTAGGTTAGCGAGGGGTTTGTCAAAAAGATGCAGGTTTTGTTCTGTTCTGTGAATTCATCCCAGAGGGTTTGTGTGGACACAGATGGACGTGGCAGCTAGTGTATATGCAAAGCGAGTGTGAATGAATCATAAGTATGGACAACAGTCCGGCCGGCTGACGAGAGAGCCGGTGATGGCATGACGTGGCATGTGTGCGGTGGAGATCGAGGAAATAGTCAATACTTGTCCTGAAGCGTGGCTTTGTAAAGGGCACTACACTTGGGTATGAAACAACCCAGCTGCTCTTATTGCTCTCAAGTTGTTCAGGAAAACATGACATTTATATAAAACAGCAGTACACAGTTTTTCATATACGTGCTCTTAATTTGATGGTTTAATCAAACTTGTCGGGTCATTGAAAACAAATCCCCTCCGGACATCACTTTTGGCCACTACTAATAACAACAACATTGGATTAAAGGCAATACATTAACCCTCTGGGGTTCTTCGGGTCAATAATGACCCGAAGCGTTTAAATAAAAAAAATGTTAAAAATCGTAGCTTCATCGGAATGGTTCGAAACTTGGTGAATTTAATGGTACTTGGTATATGAACACCCCAAAAAATTGGGGACAGGATTTGAAACACTCAGGACCTTCGGGTCAAAAATGACCCGCATAGGAAATGAATGGGAAATTGGCAAAAATTTGAAAATACTGAGTTTTTTTGTGCGTACAATCTACAAATCAGCAATTTTGAAAAAAAGCACACAACTGTGAAGGGGTGAATCTATAAAACATCAAGAGTGCAAAACAGACACATCCACACACACACTCACACACCTTTATACACAAACACACCAAAAAATTCAGATTATACATGTGTTTTGCATTTTTAAAAAGCTCAGTTTGTCCACCATATGGCATCCATCTAATTTCAAAAATTGCTTTTATGAGGCCTAGGCTTGACTCCAAAATGAAATACAGCTTTAAAAAAAAATATATATATATATATATATTTTTTTCTATTATATTCAATGGGGGGAAATTTGGTCATAATTATTGCATTAATACTAATTATAAATTTTTGTATTTTTTGAAATTTTCTCAAAACACCAAAAAAGAAAAGAAAAATATTATAAAAAAAACAAGTAAAAAAAAAATTATGAATTTCTTTTTTAAATATGAATCCCGCCCTTTGGGTCAATTTTGACCCGAAGTTCCAGAGTGTGACTGTTAAACGAAGAACCCCAGAGGATTAAAGGTGTTGGATTAAAGGCATATGTTCCCGATGGCGTCTATTTTTACCGTTCTTTAATGCATTCTGGGGAGATTATCTTTAGTGGTATAGATTACATCATATGTTGAAGATTTAGTGGTACAGACTCCGATCAGTCACTCCTCCACAGCATCTGGCCCCAGACAGATGTAGATGTTTTAATGGATTTTATCTATTTAAAAACTGTGCGGAGTAGTTGCATCTGTTGCATTTAGATATTATAATGTGTACATTACATAACTCTACCTTAATGGCACCATATTTACATGGAAACATTTGATACTGTTTGCACATGTAAACTACCAAAGTGCCTTTGAATATTTGTGGGTTGGAATATTCACAGTTTTTGTAAGTACGTAAAATATTCAGATGCAGTCCTCTATTCTGAGAATGTCACATGACCTTCAGCTCAGTATTTGATTTGATGCTGTTCTGAAAGTTAATCTGGGGATTTTCAGAGGAAGGAGGCTACTGCGATGGATTGTGTTTCTGCTTTCGGTTTCAGACATCAGCTGTGCTGCAGTTTCTAATGTGTCCCAAGAGATGGTGCTTTTGTTGGTTGTTGCTCTTCATCACCAAATATCCTGTTTTACACATGTGACACCCAGGGCCTTAGAGAGAACAGTTTCCTGAAATGAACAGACACTGTAAATATGACCTGCCTGAAACCCCGCGGGTTTAGAAAGGCCGACATTAGTAACATTCAATCTTTGTTGGCATAGATAAGTGGATGGATAGATAATATAATTGTTTTATTTGTGATAACGCAATGAAACCTCAAATTTTGCGGACATAATTTTTGGCCAGGGTGTCATACAAATATACAGTATTATGAACACACTTTTCGCCACTATTGTATATATATTCATATATATTGGAACTGTATTACAATCATAGAATAAATGTATGCATGTTTATTATTTGTATGTGTAATATTAATACATGTTATTTATAATAATTGGCCATCCGGGGTAGCCTGTTATTCTTAAAAAAAATGACCTTGGTCAAAAATGACCCCCATAGGTAATGAATGGGAAATTGTACAAAAATGAAAAAAAAAAAATTGTGAATTTTTGTTTTCTGTCAATTTTTTTTATAAGAAATAGTTTTTGAGATTGTTTCAATTATATATTCAAATCCACCAACAACAACAACAACAAAAAAAAAATGTGTTCATAAACAGCTGGGGAATTCACATGCCTCTCTCCATAGAGAGCTGATTCTACGCTTTTTCTCTATACTGTAACCAGATGGTGCTAATTTTCTTCAAAAAATATATTTTTTTCTGAAGGCCTAGACTCTATAAACTAAACTAAAGTACTGCATTAATATTTTTTTGAAAAAAATAATGTATATATAGAAAAATATATATATATATATATTTCCATGGCAAAAATAAACCATAAATATTGCATAAATATTATTAAATTCCATTAAATTTTCTCAAAATACTAATTTAAAAAGAATAAATATTATAGAACAAAAATAAATTGCATTGGTTTTACTGGGATGGAGAAAGTTTCATTTTTAGGTGTCCGGTCACTTTTGACCAGGAAGATAACAAGTGTGACTCCGAAACGAAGAGCACCTGAGGGTTAAATCCCCTTTCTTTCCCATTCTGACATTCAGTTTGGAGTTCAGGAGATTGTCTTGACCAGGACCACACCCCTAAATGCATTGAAGACACTGCCATGCGATTGGTTGATTAGATAACTGCATTAACAAGAAATTGAACAGGTGTTCATAATCCTTTAGTGGAAGCATATTTCAATAATTATATGAATTGGGAAGAATTAATGTATGTATTCTCACTGGTTTTCTTGCTGTATGGTCACCAGACGGACCTGCTGTCTCCCTCTCATCACACCGACCCATGTTCTGCTCTGTCCAACTGCTGTGCTCTGACATTGTTAGTGAGACACAGGATATCCCTGAAGGGGAGAGACGGCTAAACAATATCAGACCTAATCAACATTGTTTGTTACAGTCAGCCAGACATCCTTCTCGGTGATATAACACCCCACACCCAACAGACATAAACAATACGCTGCGAGTCCCCAGGCAACGTTTCAATCCCCAAATATGGGCTTATAATGGGTTTTAATCACAAATAGTAGCTGAATATTACATGCTGGCAGTAAAGTTCAGAGTCAAGCCTTCAGTCCTTCTGTCATGCACTTAATGGAGTGAAGAACATAAAAATGTAAAACTGCCGTTCAAACAAACCACATAATCCTCAAATATTAATTAACAACTGACTAAGTCAGTCAGAAGCCTCGTTTACATCAGTATCATGGACACTAGTGTTATTTTAGTATCATTGAGATGCTAGGTTTTTTTTTATTTCACGAATTCACACTTACATGAGAGTTGAATGTTTTATTTTTGTAGTTTTAATTTTAAAGGTTTAGGAATATTGTTGTGCGTTTTTGTCATTATGTTTATATTCATTTTTAGTTTTCATTATATTAGTACATCAAATTAGATAAAAATGAGA